GGCAAAAATGTCATTACACTACTTTTAACTACTCACTATAATTAAAATACTATTATTTCTTAAACACCGCGCCAAAAGTAAATGTAAACATTGTAAGTGGCCGAAGGGAGTATATAATATCTAGAAAAAAGTTTAGTCTATATTTATTTAGGAAAGATAAATTTAAAAATATTATAAATTGATTCTACATTCAAAATTTTAAAAAACAAAAAATGTTAGTAGTATAGTATCAAACTACACTTCAACTTCTAATAAAACATACTTAAAATTATTCAATTTACATGTGTCTTATTTCCAAAATTGGTGTAGCATTTCTAAATTACTTGTGTTACATTAGGGTTTTCTGGTTTGTATTTAGGTTTGATATATTTTTTATTTAAATTCTAATTTAGATAGTATATTGATATTACATATCATTATACGAAATATTATACTCCCTCCGTCCAGATACCGTGTCTGTTATACTGTAGACACGGTATTTTAGGAGGGGGTGTAATTAGTATATAATTAAGAATGTATTAGTGAAAATAATTATCCTATAATATAAATAATTATAAATTAAGATTAAGATAACTAATAGTTTAATTAAAATTAAAAAAAAATAAAATTAAAAAAATTAAAATGAGATTAAAGTGTGTAATTATTTTTCAAAAAAAAGAAAGTGACATAGTATGTGGGACGGATAGAAATGGCAACATGGATATGGTATCTGGGACGGAGGGAGTAATATTTTTATTGAAAAAATAGTAAAAAATAACAAAGTGTTGCAACAAATGCATAGACTTCACATATATCTATTTTTAAAGGAATATACATGTGAGTATATATGTATTATTATAATTATCATTATTGTTGTTATTATTTCACTTTGTCAACCCAAGAAATAATAATACGAGCTTTTTATTTTAATTTATTTTATTCAATCTTTTTTATTTTTCAAATCTAAGATTGAAAAGCATAATTACGACAACAAAATATTCTGGATTTATGAAAAGTTTCTTTCAAGTACTAATATAAATTTAAAAAAGAAAACATAAAGAATATACAAACACAACTTGGCTTATCTTTTTAAGTAATTAATTAGAATCTAGTGGTTCTTTGTGCAAATATTTATTCATAATTAATAATAATATATATAAGTAATGATAGACGAATTAGAAAAGTGTACTTTTTAATGTGTTGAGTATTTTTAGTAATCTTTACCAAATCAAACCAATTTTGTTCAAAATGTTATTGTTGTTTTTTTTGTTTTTTTTTTTACTAAAACATTAAAACAAACACAATAATTTTTTTATTTTTTTATTTATTCTTTTTTTTTTATGTGGTATGAATAATTGTATTGATTATATAAAAATTAATATTTTGTAATGTATTGCCGACTTCTTATAAGAATAAAATATATTCCCTCCATTTCGAAACTAAGTATCCATTTGTTTTTTGCACGTAGTTTTATAAATATGAGTATTATATTAGGATATAGTAGGAATAAAGTAGAAATGACTAAAATAACCTTATTAGTATGTGTGATATAATGGTAAAGATATTTGTGTAATATATTGTAAATTGTAAGGGTATTCGTAATGTTAGGTAAATAGTACAGTTACTAAAAAAAGGAAATGAATACTTTGTTATGAGACGGACTAAAATGGAAAAATAGATACTTTGTTATGGGACGGAGGGAGTATGTTTTATCTTTTTTGACACAATTTTTATTATTATACATAAAAAAAAATCAATTCATTCAAAAATGTCAGATGAACAGAATCAAACTATGTAATAATTATTTTATCTAAAATATTAAAATTAAAACTCACTCATTCCACCGGGAAAAATTGCAAAAAATATCCCACACGTATACTTCATTATCACTTTTGTCATGTATTTATCTCTCTGGCAAAATATATCCCACATGTTTTCAAAAGTCACTATTTCTATCATTTGACCGCGCATGGCCGCGCGTAATTACGCGTAAGGGCGCGTGGTGTGAATTTTACGCGCGAGAAAATGACATAAATAACGACTTTTGTAAACATGTAGAATATATTTTGCCAGGGAGATAAATACAGGATAAAAGTGATAATAGGATATAAGTGTGGGATATTTTTTACAATTTACTCCGTTCCACCACTTATTGTTTAGGATTTGTTCACCTCGTAGTTTGTTTTTTTTTTTTACCATTTTTTTCGATACAATACAATTAGATTTGGAAGATGTTTTTAGAACTTTTGATATTAATAGTAATTGTTTTAAATATATATATATATATATTACATCAGATAATTTTTTCTATTAAGGCTTTAAATAAATCCGATTCACCTAATTGAAGCAAATTATTCTATACTTATATTAGTAGTGTGTTTTGGTTTGTGTTTGAAATACAATTACTAACTGGTTCTATATTTACTTTTTTGTGTTGATATTTGAATTTTATTTATTATATTAAAATATAGTACAAATAAAAAAAAATGACAAAAATATTTTTATTAGTGTCTTATAATACTAATACAAGGACATTTGTAAAAAAAATTATCCAAATATAAGAATAATTTTAATGTTAAGTACAATGACGCAAATATGTAAATGTAACTCTTAAAGACGGACGGATAGAGTATTATTATTAAATTCATATTGTTCTTAATAAAAAGGATAAATTATATTTTTAGTCTCGTAGTTGGAGTCTTTTATCATTTTAGTGTTGTACCTAAAGGTTGTCTCAAAATAATCGCATAACTGAAAATTTTTGCATTTTTAGTTCTCCGGCGCCGGAGATGCCTGCATGGCACTAACATGCCTTGCCAAATGAAAGTATCCGACAGGTAAGCGACACTTAGCTAAGATGTGGAATTCTTTATTTTTTAAAATTTTTAATTTATGTATTTTGTCTTTTTTCGCATTGTATTTTTAATGCCTAAATTAAAAATTTTAATAAAAAAATAAAAATTTTCACGTGTCTGTCAGGTGTCGCTTACTTAGCGGATACATCTTCCGGCGAGCCAGACGGGTGCCACACAAACATCTCTAGCGTCACAAGACTAAAGTGCGGAAAAAAATAATAATAAAAAAATATTTAATTTATGTACTCATGTGTTTTTTATTGAGTTTGAGAAAATTTAATTTGAGTTTGATATATATATATATATATATTGAAAATAATAAAAGTTGCATGACAAAAATATTTGAATGAAATAAAAAAAGAATGCATCCTATACTTAAATATTTTCAGTTGGTTTCTGATTGAATTTGAATTTTTTATTTAATTTATGTTTATAGAATATTTAGATGTGCTTCTTTATTAAAAATAAAAATGATAAATTATGAAAATTGAATACTAAAAAATACAATTTGAGAGTAATCCAAACAAACCCAAACATTTCTATCGAAGTATTCTCCTCAAATGATTCGAATAGCAATTATTTCAATACTTTGGAAGATACGATCTGACCCATTCCATTTATACTATATAACCCACCATTAAAAAAATGAAGTATTTGATAACATATTTTGTTAAAAAAAAAAAAAAAAAATTGATATATTACGTCCATAAAATTTATAAATTTTTATATTTAAAAAAATATATATGTAATTTCCACTTATAGAAAAATAATATTTACAAATTCTTTGATATTATACTTATTTATAAGATATTACAATAAGTTACACTCACAAAGATTTTCTTTTTTTCATTAATCTACTGTTTCAAAATATTCTTATTTTATATCACAATCAACTTATATAATATTTCATCCGTCCACTTAATAAATTTATATTTATGTAATTAACATTAAAAATATTCTTATATTTCTATCATTTATAATATAAATGTCATTATATTTGTATTAAAGTACACAAAGAAATATATTTTTATCTTTTTTTCTTAATTTGTAATACGTTTTAATATACAATACTCTTTATGTCTCACTTAATTTGTTCACTATTTCTATTTTTGTCTATCCCACATAATTTGTCTTCTCCTTCTTTTAAAATATAATTATACACTTTAATTTCATTTTAAAATTTATAATTTTTTAATTTTAATTAAACTATTTAGTCATCTTAATCTTAATCTAAAACCGTTTTTATGAAATAATAATTATTTTTATGAATACACTTTTTAATTACTCACTAATTACATAATACCTAAAACTCTGTGTCTAATCTAAATGGAACATGTTAGAATATGAAACTGAAATTCTCTATTTTAATCATAAGAATGCGTACACATTTATAGTGATATACAAATCGTCTAAATAATGCAAGAATCTTACGAATCTCTTAAATAAGATAACTACCATAAATATAATACAGTGCTTTTAAATATATTTTAACAGGACAAATTAGTTGGGACAGAAGGAGTAATATTCAAATATTAATATGCAAAAAATAAATAAAAATTTATTAAGTGGAGTGTTGTATTAATTAAAACACATATCTGACCTATGTGAGTAATGTTATTTAAAAAAATTACTATTATTGACAAAACAAAAATCTCCCTCAGTCCTTTAACAATTTATTCATTTTTTTTATTTTGGTCCGTCTCATAATAAAGTATCTACTTCTTTTTTTTTAGTAATTGTACTGTCTACCTCACATTACAAATATCCTTCAAATTTACAATATATTACACAAATATCATTACTTTTAATATTATACCATACTAATAAAATTATTTTAACTTTTTAATTTTATTTCTACAAATCTCAATATAATAATAATATTTTTAAAACTCTATACAAAAAGCAAACGAAAGATAGATACGAGACAGAAGGGAGTATGTGAAGTTCAAAAACCGTCCATGTTCCGAATCTCAAACAAACACAACCTAATACTAATCTTATTACATTTGTATAAAAATATTAATATTAAAAAATATACGTGCAAAAGACAAACGCTCCATTTCAATAAAATATTAATATTTAAAAATATACGTGCAAAAGATAAACGCTCCCTTTCAATGAGAGGGAGAGAATATAAAGTTCAAAAACCGTCAATTTTCCGAATCTCAAACAAACAAAACCTAAACAAAAACATACTATACACTTTGACGCCTTATTTAAATTTGACGCGAGTGAGAGCGAGAGAGATGCACAATCAAATATCCGAATTCACTTTTGACTAAACCATCCCCAAATTTACATTCGACTCCACAAACTCCATCATATTACAAAACCGTCGTCCGTCTTCCTATAAATACTCGATTGAATCCTCGGCCTCCGACCCACACTCCGAACCTGACCTGAAACCCTAAAAATGGAGGGGGCCACTTCGAGCGCGAGGGACGAAGCGCGGTACCGCGGCGTTCGGCGGCGGCCGTGGGGCAAATTCGCGGCGGAGATTCGCGATCCGACGCGGCAGGGGGCGCGGCTGTGGCTGGGAACGTTCGACACGGCGGAGGGGGCGGCGAGGGCCTACGACAGGGCGGCGTTCAAGCTCAGGGGCCATTTGGCAATATTGAATTTCCCCAATGAGTACTATTCTCAGCTCGCCATTCCGCCGTACCGTCCGCCGCCGCCACCGCCGCCGCGATACGGCGGCTATTGCTCGCCGGCGGACAAGATTGAGCTCGAGTGTCTGGACGAGGGCTTGCTCGAGAGGCTCCTAGAATCCTCCGAAAAATGAAAATATTATAATTATATATATATATATATAGATATTGTGGTATGATGAATTTGGTCTTTGTTGTTCTACGTGATTTTCGAATTAATGTACATTTTATGGAAAATAATAAATTAAAATAAAGGCAAAATTATTCATAATTTTATTGTGGTTTCGAAATTCAACGTAAATTTTCTTTTTACTTTAAAATTTTCATGGCGTCCTCTTATACTTTAAAAAATATTATATAAAACTCTACTATCGTTTTAAGACTCAGCGTAAATCTCCATTTTCTTTTAAAAAATTGTATTGCGCCCCTTTATAATTTAAAAAATATTGCATGAAACCCTACTGTAGTTTTAAAACTCCGCGTAAATTTCCACTTTACTTTAAAAAATTGCATGGCGTACTCTTATACTTTAAAGAATATTGCATTAAACCTCCGCCATTCAAAACATACAGATAGGAAATCTTCTCATCATACAAGAGAATTTTCATGGTGATGGAATTTTATACAATATTTTTAAACATATAAATAAATGTCATAAAATTTTTAAAATATAAAAAATAATTTACGCTGAATTTTAAAACGACCAATTTTACCAATAATGAATTACGCAGCAGAAAAGGGAAGCGGAGAACTAGTACTTTATTTAGGGTAGTGCGTATGTATTTCTTGGGATTGTCTATTTCTGGAAATGACTAAAATGGGTTGACGATGATGCTGTAGTACTACCTCAACATATAGAATATGCTTTTTTCAGAAAGATTTTGTACATATCTCACTCATATATATATATATATAGAGAGAGAGAGAGAGAGTCAAAGGAGACATGGGTGGGCTTTTTCTTTTAGTTCGATAGATTCGATACTTTTGTGCTTCTTCCATTAATTACGTATACTCAGATAGATATCACTGAACTTCCCTATTGCAGTCTTCATGAGTATCCAGAAAAGATATGTATTTTCTTGCTACAGGTAATGTGTTTGTTCGATCTTAGATTTAATAATTTTAATGGAAAAGAATAGTTTTCTTCTTAATTATATAAAAACAGAAAAAAAGATAAATGAAAATAAAAATAAAAATAAAAACATAATCAAAATACTATGCCAATCATGGTTACCAGAAAACTGATTTTGGGCATAAATAAATTTATTTTGGGGGAAAGTTAAGAAAATTTTGGTAGAAAGAGGTGGAAAAAGAAGAAGTAGAAGGAGGCGGCCGGCAGCAGTGCAGCGGCGGTGTGCGAGGAAGAAGAAGGATTTCAGAATGAAATTTATGAACTATTGAAAAAGTATATTTGTATAATAAAATTTATATAATTTTAAAATTCATTATTATTTAAATTATGTATTTAATTAAATTCATATGTTTTGACATTGTTTTTTAAAATAAATTAATACTAATTGTAAATTTATTGTTTAAATTTATTTATTATACTCCATGAGTCCCATATAAGGAGTAACGTTTGCTTTTTGCACGTAAATTTTTTAATATTAGTATTATATTGTATTGCAGTAAAAAAATGAAAATAACCTTATTAGTATTGTGTAATATAAAAGTTGTGGTATTTGTGTAATATATTGTAAATTGAAACGGTATTTATTATGTTAGGTAGGTAGTACAATTACTAAATTATAAAATAGTACCCTTGTTTTGAGAAAAAAAAAAAATGGAAAGAGAGAGTATATATATTTTTAATAAATTTTATACTAATTATGAAATAATTATAATATTTGCAATTTATGTTAATAATCAATTAACAATCAATATTTAACTAATACACCGATACGTATTTAAAATAGTTAGTACTGATTCGTGATGGCAAACTATTCCGATGGCAATGGGCGCACGGATTATTATTGATAAAAGTAACTTAAACTAATTATTTGAATCCTGTCAATATATATTTGTTGGATTTAGGATCAAATATGTTTATCGAACATACTGTTAAAGTCATTATTTTATTTCGTCGTAATATTTAAGTGATCTAATTAATACATTAATTATAGATTGATGGGCTTGGTGATCGTTATAAAATGAAAATGCAGCTACCTACGTATAATATTATTATCTTGGCGACATGACCAATTAATAATATTAATTAAAGACATAATTGTAATTATAATTATGTCTGTCTTATATATAAATAGGCTAGGATTATGTCCCGAGACAGAGCGCCATGTAGATATTTGATTCTTCTTAAAAATTTTATTTTTCAACCATCGAGGATTGCAAAGGAACCGATACTTTAATCTTGGAAGACCAATCCCTTTAAGCACTTAAAATTCGCATATTGTTTCATCTTCAAGTACGTTTCTGCTTTAAGGATCGAAAAACAGTTTTTAATTGAGTAGTTGATATGATTTTATCGTCCAATATGATTTTGGATTGAGTAGTTGATATGATTTTATCGTCCAATATGATTTTGGATTGAGTAGTTGATATGATTTTATCGTCCAATATGATTTTGGATTGAGTAGTTGATATGATTTTATCGTCCAATATGATTTTGGATGCTTATTATATTTGGTCCAGAGATTTCTCCAATACATATTCTATAAGGTGAAAATAACTATAATAAATTTTTTTTAAAAAAAAATCTTACAAATACTTAAGCTAGCTAAGTACTAATCATATATTTCCTCTGTTATTACAAAATACGTTCTTTTCTTCTTTTTTTTTTTTTTTTGTCTATTATAAAAAATAAGTTAATTTTTTTAGCAAAAAACTATAGTCGGTCATATTTAGTTATGTTTTTTTTTTGAAATTACGTAACTAAATATATAAAGGAAGTGTAACTAAATATAGCATATGAAGGAAATTCTATTTTCTACCATTTTTAACCATCTCTTTTTTTATTTCTTTTATTACAAAAATATATATATATATATATATAGACCACATTATTTTGACATTATTTTAAAGAATATTCCCTCAATCCGTCAAATTTAGAATATTTGGTTATAACACCGAGATTAAGAAAAATAAATAATTTATTGAAAAAGTGATAAAAGTAAAAATAAAAAATAAAAAAAAAATAGTTGGAGGTATTTTTAGAAATTTAGTTAAAAATTAAAAAAAAAAAAAAAAAAAAAAAAGAGAGATAAAAATAGTGACATTTGGTATAAATAAGTATTGGATTTAGGATAATACTTAAACATTGATCTACTGACTTTGTCAAAATTAACTAATATGATAAATTTAGCGAACAGACTAAAACAAATAAGAGTAAATTTGGCTAGCGAAGAATATACTTTATCATATAAGAGTCAAAGTTATTACTAAAAGGTTAGGAAAATGGGATAAATTGATATTGATCAACCTTAATTAGTAGGTGATGTATAAATTACAGTATATAGTAATAGTTCATGTGACCTCAATATATAGTATGAATTGACAGCACATGTGCTAAAAAATAATTATTTATATTCTCCCTCTGTCCCACATAATTTGTCTCTATTTTTATTTTTGTCCGTCTCACTAAATTTGTCCTTTTCTTTTTTGGAAAATTGATTATACACTTTAATCATATTTTAAAATTTAAATTTTTTTAAATCTTAATTAAACTATTTCGTTATCTTAATCTTAATCTATAATTATTTTTACTAATACACTTTTTAATTACTTATTAATTATACTTTACCTAAATTTTCGTATCTACAGTAATGCGTCATTTTATCTAAGACGGAGTGAGTACTAATTAGGGCTAATCAGCACACTGTTGATTTATTAACCCTAATCAATATCGTAATTAGTCAAATGGATTCTATTCTACGCTAAGCATTATTTCATCTGTACTATATGGTTTTTATTTTTTATCAATTGATTTTTATAATATAATGGTGATTGATAAGAGTATAATAATATAATTTAAACATATATTGTTGAATAAACATAAATAAATAAATACAAATTATTATATAAAAAATTTATTGAAGTACATATGAGTTACATTGAACTATATATTAGCATATGACTATATGCTAAAATTATTAAAGTTGTTGTTCATGGAAGAATATTGAATAGGGTCTATTCACATGTTTTTATCAAAAAAATCAATCATAATAAAAATATATTATTTTTTTCTTCTAAATATTTTAAAAATAACAATAATAAAAAAATTTAGTTTTTAATAACAAACAATAAAAATTTTACATTAAAAAAATGCTAATGTTTTTTACAGTGGCATAATAGTCAGTGGTTGAGACCAAGAATCAATTATTTAAGATATTTAGGATATATTCCGGATGAGTACCTATATAAATGCTTCATCTGTCTCAATTAATTTGTTCACCATTTTAATTGTAGCACGAAGTTTTACATTTTATGTAATTAGTATATAATTAAAAAATGTATTACTAAAAATAATTATAATATAATAAAAATAATTATATTAAGATTAAGATGACTAAATACTTTAATTAAAATAAAAAATTATATATTATTATTTTTAAAACGTGATTAAATATATAATTATATTTTCAGAAAAAAAAAATTTATATGGGACGGGCAGATATAAAAATAATAAAGAAATTAAGTGGGGCGGAGATAATATATAATAAGACACGTGTGCATTGAGGGTAATGCAATGTGAAATCCTAAATGCATAGCGTGAATTCTCAATAAAAAAAAAAAAAAGATAAGTTATAGTGATACGACGTTAGTATTTTTGTTAGTGCATATATATGTATACATATGTGTGTGTATAAATGCGCATATATATGTATACATATGTGTGCGTATAAATGTATTTGTGAGTTTTCACATTTTATGTTATTTGATATATATTTGGTAGTATTTGTGGATTTCTAAAAAAGAAAATAAATGAGTTTTTTCATTAATTCTTTTCAATTAATTAATCTATTTTAAATGTTACACATATATTATTGCACGATTTTTTCAGATATACTTTTGGATATATCGCTTAGACCCTGTGTCCAGTAGTTCTAGACGAGGACAACATCTAGGTTTATGGTAGGGTATTCGACTCCAATATACTACAATATTTTAGTAATAGTGGACAATGTAATCGAGTAATTGGATGACTTAGTAGCATGGTCATTAAGGTATTAGACCTATTGCAGTTGAATCATAATCGGTCTAATAATTTGTGTTAGATGTTATTTCACT